GACATCTGATGATTATTCCTGCTGGATGAAAAAAGGTTTTTTAGGGCTTGTTTTGGGTTTGGTTTTGTTTGTTTGTTTGTTTTTTTTTAAGAAACGGGCATAGATGCCTGCTTTTTTAAGGGAAATACCTTTGTCTTCACAACATAAGCCACGTATCAAAGCCCTCTTCACTAATGCAGGATCAGAGTTTCAGCAAGATTGCTGTTTATACCACAAAGGAACAGCAGTTCGGATTTCAGAATTCTTTTGCATCAAGTTTTATAAAATCTTTTTTTCATACCTTCTGTCATCTCCTCGGGAGAGCAGGAAGCCCCGCACAGTGCAGAAGTGTTGGGCGTGGGCTCGGGGCTGCCGCAGGGTGTCGTCGGCTCGGGCAGGGGTCCGTGAGCCCAGGCGGTGGCAGTGCTCCTCCAGGCACCGCGGCTCTGCCTCTTCCCCGGCTCCCGCCCCCCGGCTCGTAACCACCCCTTCCTCCGTTACCCTTGTCCGCCGCTCTCCAAGTGCATGGCTGAGAGAGGAAACTGTTGGTCACCAGGGAGCTGGCAGATGTACATTTCACGAGTAACGTGTGTTGTGCCTCGCTGGCGCAGGGTAGCGGTTGTTCCTCTTTCTCGGGGTTTAGTTTCTGTTTCTTGGGGGTGGCAGTTTCTCTAGTGGTAGTGTCACTGATGCTTAGGTTCTCAGTGTCAAAGTGTGTATTGATATTGAGAAATCTCAAGTACAGCTCCATCTGATATTGTCCTGGTGTCCTGATGTGTTTTTTTTTTTCATTACTTCATTTTTTCTGAATGTTCTCGGAAATACTGTGGTTTTGCAGAACTGCTATATCTCTTGGAGCAGTGACTGGGTGATTAATTACAACTTGTCAGATTTATTAATATTTTTGTAGTTGAGAGACTGGTCCTATTAGTGATTCTGTCTCACAGTCTGGGTGTTCCCTCCTTTTTACGGAGCCATTTGGTGGCTGTTAAACTCACTGAGGAGGGAGAGAAAACAGCATGTATTGAATGTAAAATAAAACTGTCCACAGTTAATGCAAATTTAGGACAAGTTTAAGAAGCAGCAGAACTTGCATCTAGCTCTATGATTTGGATTTTTCAAGATCACTCCTGGCTTCTGCAGGTGTGAATGTGTTATACAGCAGCTCAGTGCGGGACACTGAGGTACCATTGTACACAGTATAGTGGGAGACAACTGAATTCTAATAGGTCAATGATTCTTACAGAATTATTTAATATAAACATTCCATTTGAAAACAAAACCATTCAATCAGATTTTCTTGTCCTGTACTAGCCCTTGAAAATTATTAATAAAAGTACACTGTGCTCAGGCTACATCAGTGTTGTATAAATTTAGGAAAAATCTATTCTTATGCCTTTACAATGAGAATCATTCTTGCTTGGAAGGATGTCTTTGAATTTACTCTTTTCCCACAAAACTAATTTTCTGTCAAAGTACCAAGTTATTAATGGTAAAACTTTTTTTTTTTTCCTTTTTTTTAGAAAAACCATAATTTAAAAGATGCATTTTCAGTGGATAGTGATACATTTTTAGAAGAAATTACTTACTGATCCAAATTAGATTTAACGTCAGTAGTAGGGATGTATAGGGATATTCAGAATACTCATTGAGCAATACTTTTGTGTCTTGTTACTAGTGCAAGTCTATTTGTCCTAAGCTGTGCATGTGACATTAATGCTTAATGGTAAGTGTACTAGCTTTTGGGCAGGTTCAAAGTTGTTACCTGATTTACCTTTCAGAAGCAATTGGAACTCTCTAGAGAATGGCTAGTGCTTTGGAATTCTGCTTGTAAATCCACTGCATTAAATATTCATTACAGCAATAAGGGTTTTTTTAATAGGTACTGTAGCCAAAAATGTAACCACAGTTTGTTTATTAAAAATATTTTATTGAGTAGACTATTGTTATTTTTTTCTGAGTTTTGTTAGATGGGAAATTCTGCTAAATTGGGTTAAATCTGAGGCAAGAACATATTATTTGGGGACTGGCATTTTATAAATGGTGTGTAGTTCAGCTTTGTATGCAGCTTGAATCTGGCATAGGTTAAGTAGCCATATGTGAAGTAGAACTGTGTTTGTAGAAAAAAAATCTTTTTAATCACAAAGATAAATCAAACCAGATGGTCCAGATTTTTTTTTTTGTGTGTGTGTGGGAATGCATTTGCTTAGTCCACAATCTTCAAGCCTTGGGAAGAAGGATTTGTTGAGGTTTTTTTTTTTTCTTTTTTACTGTGAAATACTAAGGTTTCGCTTCAGCCTTCCACACTTCAGCCATCAGTTCTAAAAGATTCCAGTGATAATAAATTCTGAATCACAATTGCTTCTAGTTACCCTTTCCCTTTCTGATAACTGCTAAGATTTGTGCTTCCTTTCCTGAGAAGATAAGGCACTTTTTTTTTTTTTTAAATGTGTGGTATTATTTGCTAATGTTTCATCAGAGTTATATGCAAGGTGACAGGGCATTCTGTAGGGATTTACTGGTCATACACACCTGTTATGAAAATAAAAACATTACCTTACATTTAACAGAGCGTGCCATGCTGTTTCTCAAATAGCATATGTCTCTGCCAGTGTAGTGTTCTATTGCTGTTTTATGTTAGGCCCTGTTTTATTAAACAGGTTTAAACATTCAAATATTATTTTACAAGTGAACCACAATCTTTTTATCAAGTACAAGTAGGATTTTGTGCTGTTGAGATGCTGTTACTATGGCTGATAACTGGAGGTTTGCAAATTATTTATGATCTCGCTTTAGGGAAGATTTAGTACAGAATGTAAAGGTCACAATCACATTGGGCCCAATGTTTTTCTCAGCCAAAGACTGGATTACCAGAGTTGAAGAAGAATTCTTGTATCGTTTATCATTTGAGTGGGAAGTGGGTAAAAAAGTTGAAATTACTGCTAGCTGGGAATCCTAGCTTGGCAACATGCGGGGGTTTTGTAGCATGTTCATCAGAAACATGAGTAAGAAGGTTGTCCTTTCTCTTTATATAGGGTTATAAGAAAGATGTTAGTGCCCTAAATGACACCTGTCTTGCATGAAGTGTTTTAGAGTACAACAGTGAGCTGGCCTTTTGCTGCTGGAGGTGGTTGTGGAAAGGATGCTGAGCCAGTGATACACCATCACATGCTTAAAAACATACTTGCAGCCTAGGGGAGTGTACTCTGCTTAAAATCATTCCTTATACTGATATCAAGATGTAGAAGTTACTCCGATCTCTTTCTCTTCTATGTCCAAGAAGGCAAAAAAAGTTCTACATTCCTGGACTGGGAAACTAGACAGGGTTGATGCATGTAGCAGAATTTGTCCAGATAGGAAATACAACCTAGTGAAGTTTAAATATGATTTATTAACCTCAACAAGCCCAAATGCTGCAGCTGTTAATCAGACCAGTGTGTAAATGTTTTGAAATTACTTCTGTAGATACTTTGATCTTAAATGTGATCTAAAATATGCGGGAAGAGCTATAAAATATAGACATTATAAACTCTCAAAAATGGAGAGGTTTTAAGTTGAGTTCTTTGGCTTCTGGCCATGTTTCCACTCTCCAGGCTGAATGTGCACACTGGTGTGGAAAGATACCTTATATAGATGACAAAGTTTACATCTGCCTATAGCAATCTTAATAGGAGGTTCTTGTAGTTAATCAGAGTACTGCTACATCCTGAGCCCAAAATAAAAAACCTGGGCAAGTGAAATACACTGTTTGAAGTGAAGTTTCAGTTCAGTTTCCATTCAGAGGCTAACTAGTAAAATCACTCTTCTTTCCTGTCACTTGAACTGTGTCACATATGTATTGAGATTTCTTCTGAGGATTTTTACTGGTTTATATGATTTTTTTTTTCTTCCTCTCTGAGGCAGTGCAAAGCTTTGCTGTCCAGCCTTCTAGATGTTTTCATTTTCACCATTGCCTCATGCATATTTTACTATCCTCTTGCACAGTTATTCTCTTTTTTCCTTATTGTTTTCAGGTCATCTTTTCTGTGTCCCATAAGCTCACAGCATTGTCGTACCCTCATTATTTGACTCATCTTTTAGAATATTCTTCTTCAAAAATTAAATCATATTTTGTGAAGTATTCTGTATCAAGAAATCCATGGTGAAACAACTTTTTTTATTCCTCATTTAGGTCTTGATAAAGAAAAGGACTTAATCCTTTAATATTAAGCCAGAGTAACTACATTTGTGCTTCTCCGTATCGGGCTTCTAGCTGAACCCACAGTAGCTCCTTATTTGATGTTACCATTGTCTTCCTTGTACCCACTTCCATTTTTTGCTTTCAGGTGGGCAATTTCACATAATACACTCGGTTTTCTACAGTCCCTATTGCTAGGCTTGTTTGTTCAGTAGTTTGTGTCTGTGGCACTATAAAAATAATGGTCTGCAAAGATTATTGAAAAATATATTTGTTGCAGTATGAAAGAATTAGTGTTTTTAGTAATCAAACATTTTCAGCAACTGGCTGTACTTTGTGCATCAAAGTCCAAATTCAGATGGTGGAAATCCCACTGGAGTAGCTTTGCTTATCGCTATTAAGAACTGCAGTTAACATCACTTTCATAGTTTCCCAATTTATGAAAGCCAGTTATTCTCCCTTTCAGTTCTGATCTAAAGTGTTTTGCCCTTTGATATCAATACTACTACATGTGATCTCTTACTAGGTGAAAGCTAATCACCTGTCTTCCATTTGTGGCAGTGATCTGGCCAGTTTTCTGTAATAACAAAGCTTTGCTGTTTCCAGAGGTGCAAGTAAGACTAGAAGGAGCTCTTTCCATATTACCAAGAGGGAATGCAGCACACAAAGTTAATATATATGACAGGAAGATTTCAGAGTTGGTTTATAAGCTAGTTTGCATTCTCGTTGGAGAACCTGAGCAGTCTACCCAATATTTGCATTGTGTTTATTTGCCTGGTTTCACCCTCATTTCTTCCCACTTTTACTAGCAGGTTTGCCACCTACTCCAGAGAGAATCAAAACAATGTCCTACGTTTTTGTAAACGACTCTTCCCAGACGAATGTGCCACTGCTGCAGGCTTGCATTGATGGAGATTTTAACTACTCCAAACGACTGCTAGAGAGCGGGTTTGACCCAAACATTCGTGACAGCCGAGGCCGAACTGGCCTTCACCTTGCTGCAGCCAGAGGAAACGTAGACATCTGTCAACTCTTGCACAAGTTTGGTGCTGACCTACTAGCCACTGATTACCAAGGTAACACAGCCCTTCACCTGTGTGGGCATGTGGATACCATCCAGTTCCTAGTTTCTAATGGACTTAAAATTGATATTTGGTAAGTCACTCTTTTATTTACAGCCTTGCGTGTAGCTTTTCTGCAACAGCAGATTTATATTTGGTGCAATTCAACTTTTTTAAGGTACCACTTAATAAAATCTCAAAGTAAGGAGGCAGAAAAACAGTAAGAGGCCACTTCTGCTAGTCTGTGCAACAAGCTAAGCAAATAAAAATAGCAGCTGCTGGTGTGGGCTGCTGTGTCTAATCCTGCCTCACTGATGACATTGCTATCCTGGTTTGGCCAGACAGCCAGGTGTGGGTGGTTGGCACCGAAAAAAAAATCACATTGACTACTTGAAAAGAATTTTCTCCCTCACAGGTCTATTGTTTTATGTGTTGTACTGTATAAGACAAAGAATATACAGTATATGTGTGTCAGTTCATTCCCATACTCCCTTGGTAACAATGCTTCCTTTCAGTGTTTTCCTCCTCCCTCGAAGTCTGTGACTCAGTCCTTCTTTTAAATATTGTATATTCTTTCCGTCTGGCTTCCAGCAGCTGTCAGATGCCAGTGCTCAGATGTAAGCTCTCAAGCTGCAGAATAACTAGCTGTTTCATTGCAGTAATTGAATTATTTTGTTTGTGGAACTTTCTGCATATTCACAACGTATGCAAAAAACAGCAGTAACTTTAAAACCTTTGAGTATTTTAATCTGTGCCTTTTTCACCTGTCCCTCATTAATGTTTTCAACTCAGCAAAACTAGTTATTGGCAGACCAGATTCTTTATGGGTTGCGGGTTGGGTTTTTTTCTTCATTTCAAACAACTCTGGTGAAAATCACTAGTCTGAAGGCAGCTCTGGTCCTATTCAGTATTATTTTAATAGTAGCAGAGGGACCATCTGTACTTGATTTCATTTTTGCCTGATGTCCTAATACCCGCATGGAAAAGGAACTATGAGGAACCAGATTGCACAATTCCTTCTTGAAATAAAGCTTAATCTTGAATATTGCCATAAATCTCCTGGTTTGCTGGGATTTTTGTTGTTGTTGTAACACCCAGGGATTCCAATTAGATTAGACTACTAGGAATTTTGAATTTATTTAGAGGAAAAAGAGTTGTGCAATTTCAAATCTAAATATACTGAGTTTCTTCTATAGCCAATTGCTTTAACTTGTATAGAGAGGAACTTCTTACTGTCTGACATAACAGAAAATGGTTCCAAGGACTTACAACAGTTTGTCCTTCAATTAGTCCCTAAATTACTTATGGTAATCTGTTATGCTGAGTTGTCTTGTTACAAAATTCTGGTATTAATGTTTCTTTTCTTCTCATGTCCTCTTGTGGGGTTATTGTAGCAACCACCAAGGTGCAACACCGCTTGTTCTTGCAAAGCGAAGGGGTGTGAATAAAGATGTGATTCGACTGCTGGAATCTTTAGAGGAGCAAGAAGTGAAAGGATTTAACAGAGGAGCTCACTCAAAGCTGGAAACAATGCAAACTGCTGAAAGTGAAAGGTATTTACAAACAAAGCTAATTACTCGGAGAGATAATGGCTTTTAGATTTTTGTATATTGACTTGATTATTTATTCCTTGAAACACATAGTATCAAATCATTAGCAGACCAAATGAAAATTGAATTTAGGATTTTGGAAAAATCTTTTTAAACAGATCAAATGTAAGAAAAACGTAACTTTTTCTATTGAGATTTTCATTTTATGGTGGAAATTTTTAAAATAACTACTCATTTTTCATTACAGACTCCCAAAACTAAATATTTTACCACTTAACACAAGGCCAAATGGAAAATGGCATGAAATGCAAAATGCCAGTATCCCAGGCTAACCTTACACCCTTTTGATAAGTTGGATTGTCTGTGCAAAGAAGGATAGCAGACTGCAGGTATCTGAACTTGAATAAAGGATTTTATATAGTGCCATCTATGAAATTTCTATTGGGAGTAGTCCTAGAAAAGATAGAAAATAAAACAAGATTTTCATGGCAGCTAAAGAGATAGTTAAAGAAGAACTAAAGATTTGAGGAAAATTGATGTCAGTTCTAGAGAAAGTATTTGTTTAGAGGGAAGTTACTACTGAATTTCTAAAGAACTGTTTCTGGGACTGTGCTTACTTATAATTTTCATAAATGGTACGAGCATAGTAGATAGTAGCGTGTTAGTGATACTAAGAAGTGAGATACAGGCAACATCAAGGACAATTGGGATGGCATAGGCAAAAGCCTGGGATGATAAGGGAGAGGAAATGGACAGGCTTAAATTGTGATTTGGTAATACAAACTACAGCTTCATTTACCTAAAGCTGTGTGCTGTAAAATGGAAATTCCTGAGTGGAAAACTAGGTTATAGGCGAAGAGGCTTGATGGATTAGTCAATTCCAGGAGTTGATGCTGCCCTGAAGAAGGTAGTGAAGTCCTACAAGGCACAAAATGAAATATTTCTAGTGCAAAAAAAAACCCTGTCAGTGCTGTGGTAAAAAGCAGTGGTAACTTCTGCTATGTAATACATTTTATAGTCCTGTTAGCCCCATTCAAAAAAGTTTATCTTCTGAGAAGCTGGGCGAAGCATCACTTCAGGGAACGGAGTGTCTCCTTGTGAGAGGAGGCAGCTAGAGCTTGTTTTAGCCTGGCAGGGTGAAGGCTGCGAGGTGTGTGGTTGATGACAAGAAATACTGGTTTTGAACAGCATAAAATAACTGTTTAAGACAAAAGATGTTGATAGGATGAGAGCCAAAGGATACAGGTAAACCACAAACACTTTTTGATTGAAAATTGGGAGTGGTTCTTTGCAATGAGCTTCCAAGACAGCTTTCTTGTAGGATTTAGATGAGGCAAGAAGCTTTGCAGGTTTCAAAGGAGGCTAATTCTCTTTCAGAAATGGAACTGCCAGTAAACATGACAGAACATGAGACTAAGGTTAATAATGCAAGAGATCCTTCCAGTACTGTTCTGTTTTGGTTTGGATTTTTTTCCTTAAATTTATATTGGAAACAGGATATCAGCGTTGTTTGGAATACTTGCTCTTACATGAAATTTATTAAAGATTGTGATTTTTTACATTGTCTAATAATGATCCTGAACTGTGACTGCTGGAACATTGTATCACAAAAGACGGGCAGCTTTGTCACATAATTCTTGTTCGTTCTATGTCAATATGTACATAGCCTGCACTTTAAATGAATATTAAACCATGTAGATGGAGTTGTTATCTGAATTGAGTAAAGAGAAAAGGTGAAACCAACAAAATTACAGAAATCATGCCAAATACTCCCAGTGAGCAGACTGGAAGTTCTTTCTTACACATCCGGTAGCCCAGGTCTTCAGAGAGGCTGTTTTAAGCCCTGAAATGAAGATTTAATATTGTTGTCAAAATTGTATGAGTATAAATTATAAGAATTTGTGCATATCACCTTTCTGATTTAACTAAATTTTGTTGAAAGTTGTCACACAGCAATGCATTTATGCTGTTGGGTTTTTTTCTAAACATATGGACCAAGAGCTCAGCCCCATTTAATTTCAATTTTTTTTCACTTGAGAGTGCCCCTTTAATAAACATAGCTTCCTTTTTGTTATTTGACCTTCATAAATGTTATATTGTTTGCTTTGGCAAGGAAGTCAGCAACTCTCCTTGGAGAGAGGCACGGAGACATAAACAGTGCACTACCCAGCTTGTTTGTGAAGCCTTTAAAATGTCTGAAATACATTATTTTTAAAATAACAAATAACAGATGCCTACAGCAGCAAAAGCAAGCGAGCTTGTGTGCTGTTTGCTTTCTAAATAAATAATGTCGTTGTAACAGTTAGCTTTTTGGACCTCCACAGTCTCACTCCTTCCTTTTAGTATTTTCTTCACATTTTAGAGACACTTAGGTGAATGTCTTCTGTCCTCTTCACCCCCCAGCTCCCTTACATTATGTATGAACCTGTGGAGAAAGAATGGTTGCTTTTTCTAAAAGCAGCCTCTGACGTAAGTTTTCTGCCCTTTACTGCACGCAGTTGCTGCTGCTCTGGGAGCAGAGGCCCAAGAGGGGTTCCCGAGTCCAATTTATTTTCTCTTTGCACTGCTCCCAGTGAGAAGTGGCCCTGTACTGTCAGGAGGCAGAGCTCCTCCCTCTGGCCACCTTTCCAGCACAGAGGACCTGCCCATCTACACAGGCCGGCGTGACCCAGGACTGTGCCCACAGGTCCGTCCAGTGTGAGGCGCTGAGCGCGGGGACGCGGCGGGAGGCTGCCGGGCACAGCCCGTGTGGCACAGCCCGTGTGGCACAGCCTCTTCGCAGGGTGCGTTGCTGCATTGCCAGCCCGTAAGCAGCTGCAGTTTCCAGTGCGAAAAAGTACCTGGAATAACACTGATTTTAATTGGGTTGTAATATAAAATAGCAAAAGTGTTTTCTGCTTGCCCTTTTCTATTTAATGAGCAAGCGTGTGGTTTTTTCACTTAAATTACGTTGCACATTTATTTAACCTCTCCGTGGTTATCTATTAACTAGTTAGTGCTTAATGAGTACACCAATGGCTGTCTTTTATTAATCCCTTTGTTTTGCTTGGGAAATCATAATAAGCAAGGAAGATGACTGCAGCTATAGGCAAGCAAAAAATAGCTTTACAGCAAGGTAAATATTAAAAAAAAAAAAACAAAATAGACAAGCTATTTAACAGGCAGTGTGACACACCAATACTTCAGCAAGCTATGGGAATTTAGGCTAATTATTTTTCAGTGGCTGTACTTCCTAAGAAAAAATACTGTATGAGTAGTGTGAAGTTTTTCCATGGTATAATCTTAGAAGAGACATTTGTAAATGATAACTTTTTCTGAGAACAGTAATATATCAATTTATTATTGCCATCAAGAACAATAGTATTTCTGCAATAAGTTTTGACGTGGAAATTACTTTTCCCTGGAATGTTTTATTTTATTAATAAATTTTTATTAAATATAATTCTAAA